TTTGATTTTTAGGCCAAGTTTTAGTCGCATTCTGCTAAGAAACCCAGACAAAAGTTCACGGATTTCACGTGGGAACAAGCATCCATCGAATCGGAGCTGTCACGTGCACACACGTGCACGTACGTGCACACACGTGCACACACGTGCCCCCCCCCCCCCCCCCCCCCCCGGCCCGGGTGTCATCATCCTGAGGAGATCCAGGGTTGCACACCGTCCCGTCTGGTTTCCTTTCCTTCCCTCCTGCCCTTCACGTGCACATCCGCCGTCGCCATGACAACGGAGGCTAATCTCCCCCTTGCACGGTAAAAGAGAGAGAGGGGGGATATGTGCAAGATCCGGCACGGAAATGTTGCCTCTGAGAAGCTGCTGGAGCTGGAGATGCAGCAGCAGAAGAAGCCGGATCTGTGTGAGCACATCTTTAGGATTTAAAGGGAGCAAAATGAGCAAAGACATCCACAGAAAAAACATTTTACAAAACAATCTTCCTTTCCTGGCTAAATCCAGCCTTTACTCTTGTTTTTGCTCTCATTTTAGGACTCGTGCTCATGTTCTTTAAAAAAAAAATGCACCCAATCCCCTCCAAAAACCCATTTTTCCCACTGACTCCGCTTCATTTTTCATTTCTCATCAGTATTACAGTCGTTCTCTTTCTGATTCTGTCCCATAAACATCCCTCTTTTCCTTATTCATGTCAAGCACATGACCAATTGACCAAAACAGGATATTCCTGCTCATATCCTTCCAAAATCTTATTCCTCCACACACTCTTTTCATCCCTCCTCCTGTTCCCGGGCTCTTTCCTGAGCTCCCAACACAAATAAGTGTCCACTCCTGTTTCCCAGGTTTCTAAACGCTCTCCTCTGCCTCCTCTTCCTCACGCACACAGAGTGTGTCACGGCTGATTAGGCTGGCGGCCATTCCACTGGAGGGAAGGATGGAGGGATGCATGGAGAGAGGGGGGTGCAAGGGAAAAGGTGCTAACAGCTCAGATTTAATCAGATTTCTATGGTTTTGGGTTAGAGCGAAGGAACAAACCGGTTTATCCGGACAGAAACTGCACACCTCTGAGCGCGTGCGTAAGCGCGCGCGCGCGCAGATGTGCGTAAGGAGTTGGATTTGGTACTTGCCGCTAGGGGGCGCAGTGAGGGGAGACGGTGGGCGCGTGAGAGCGGCAGCTGCAGAGGGCTGGAGCTGCGGACCGGAGAGGGGCGGCCAGCGGAGGCGGGACGCCGGGAACCGACACCCAGAGGCCGGGGAGAGAGGATCCGGACCCCCGGGGGGGAGCCTGGAGCTCCGGGACGGGTCTGAGGAGCAAAACCGGGTCCGCACACGCACGAACTCACTCAGTCACACGCACGCACGCTCTCTCACACGTCTTGAGAACAGCGTTGAGATGCATTACGTCATAGGCTCCCATCGCCCCAGATGACCGCGCGCGCGCGCGCAGGACGGGACGATGACGCGGGGCTGCCGGACCAGGACTAGGACTAGAACTAGGACTAGGACTAGGA